TTGATGGAATCCATGTCTCGGTTTAGAGATTGATGATATACCTTTATGAAAGCTTATAAGTTTCATGTGTAAATTCGGCCAGTGGATTTTGTATCCGACACATGAAATAAGTTAAGCGAATGTCTAAAGGAAATAATCAATAAACTAAATCGCCAGTAATTTAATTTACTTGATTAGTATCTGAATCTTAATATGGGGAGTTAAATAAGATTTAATGGATGAATTTCGAAATTGGATAAGGAGTGCAATTACGGATTTTTAGTGGAATAATTCGTAATTAATTATGGTAGATATTAATTTCGAAAATTAGAAATTAATTCCATAATTGAAGCATTGTTAATTAAATTCGGTGGTCCCTATTGTGCCTAAATAATAGGAAATAAAGGAATCATTTTTCTGGTGGAAAAGAAAACCCAACAGGTTTTGGAAAAGGGTCTTAACCCTTAAAACTTGTGCTATAAATACATAATCTTTTCCACCTAGAAGCGGGAGTACATGGTGGCTGAAATTTTCAGCCAAGTTTTCCTAGAAATTTCGCTCATACGAAATTTCTATTTCCGGCATTATTTGGGTAGCACAGTAGAAGACCGTGGAACGTTCGAGGATCACGATTGTGCGGGTGATGGAGGTTTCATTGAGAAGTTATGGAACTGAAGGCTCACGTGATAGAAGAGATATGTTCACGCTTCAAGAGGTAACCCGTGAAACCCTGTATATACTAGTTGTCTAGATTACATGTGATTTTGATACTGGGATTGCTTCCGCTGCTTATTATAATCCATCATAGCTATCGTCTTTAACAATTTAGGTATCTTCTTTAAAAAATCTTGAGAACTTAGGTTTGTCAAACCCTAGTCTTCTATATCGATTTAGGAGAAGAAATCCTAATTTTTACCCCAATTTTCGAACATAAGCAAAAATAGACAAAGCAATCAGTGTTAGAACGAAGATTAATGGAGAAAATCACGCTACAGAGAGATTAGTGCAGCCATTCTCCGATGAGGGCAAAGACTTCGATGAGAACAAAGAGAAAATGAGGTTTTTACAATTGACCCACTAGTTTCATACCTAGCCCCTTTTTTATTTTTACCATGTAATTTTTTACAATGATATAATAAAGAGTATTAAAATTCTTAATTAAGTCCGTTTTTTAGATTAAACGAAACAAATATCCATGTAGATTGTCATGTGATAGATTTTAAAAATAAGTTGGAGAGTGTATTACACGCACCAGTAAACAGCGACGAGGTTTTTTTTTATTATGAACGGGGATATAATTCAGGGAATTTTTGGGGACATACGATAGTTTAGGTAGGCAACTGACAAAAGTTATATAGTTTTGGCGGGTTTTAGGGTATTAACTCTATAAAAAAGTATAAAATATTGAGAAAATAACCTCATAAAGAGACACACAAGTGACATGATGACACTTGTCTCAAAAACTCCCCGCCCTAAATAAGACTCTCAAACCCTTTAGGCTACATTGTGAATGCTACTAAATAAGAAAGAATGATCATCAATTTATAGAAATCTAAAATATTTTTCCTACAATAAAAAGAACTAGGCAAATTGATATGGGAGATTTATAATTTTTTTTTAGGAAAAGAAAACCAATTATGCTATATATTGTCATTTCTTTAAGAGAAAGATCAACTAAATATGGTAAGAAAATAATGGCAAAACACTTCTTTTTTTTACTCAATACCCACTCATTGGCTTATCGAGTTTATTTTTTTATTTCTACTTGAAGCTCACTCTTCAACTTGTTGAACCTATTCTCCTTTTCTCTGCTCAACAATCATTCTTCAACTTGCAATCTCTCTATTTTAGGTTCACTTGTCAACACTCTCTAAAAACACTAAAAAGAATTAAATCCATGTAAACCATAAATTCAGTTACACGTGCAAGAGAACGTTGAGAATATATCATATGACCTTCTATCAGAGTTTTCAAAATAGTTACTTAATAACCAATTTTGATGAAAAACATTTCATCAATTTTTGCCATCAAATCAACTGAATGCAACTCTATTTGAAGTTCCCGTTAATCTTCTAAATACATTTAAGAAATATATAGAATAAGTCGTGACCGGCACTTGATGCCATAAATTAACCGAGCGAACCTTCTATATTATAATTAATTTCTAACTCTATTCTGTCATGCAAAAAAACAGTGTTGATATACTTTTTGCTATAAAATTTTGTTTTACGACTTTGCTTCACTTTAGTTGGATGAATATCCGTAAAAATTAAGGAAAAAAGATACTCTATAGCCACTCTCAAATAATAGTCAATTTTTTTTATATTTTATATATATACATTTTGTATGTTATATACAAATTTTATACATTTTTTCGGCTATCGAACATAAATAATTTTTGGCACGAGCTAAAAGTGATAATACCCCTAAAATTATCCGTTCGCCCTCTAAACTTTCACACACCTTTTCAAACATATATACCTTTAACTATAGAATGCTAGCATATCTTATTCAATATATCTAACTGGGTCCAAATACAATTAAAGAAAGTTGAATTTCTGCTTGTTACTCCATAGATAGCAAAGGGATAAAAAATCAAAGAGAAAAGTAGTTTCATATACACAATAAATGAAGAGCAAGGATAAATTACCAATCGAGTATTCTCATGGCTCAATCATAGAAATGGTCCAAATTTTAATGTTTCCCCTACTATTGTAGTAATGACAAAAAAGAAACTGACTTGTACATAAGTTTTGCTGAAACAGTTGAGAACGTGAAATTTCTAGGGGTCCATACTTTGCTTCTGTTTGAATTTAAGAGCAAGAATTTATTACTAGTGAACCATAATGTACTGTACAATCTTTCTTGGTTTGTGTTAGAAGATTTAGACTAGTCACATTTGATTTAAAGAGTGTTGTTTCATGCTTATTCGACTAAGTAGGTACAAAATTTTATGACTTCCTTTCTCTTTGATTTGTTTTATCAAGATCTAATTCATTTGAATGCTTGGTTTTGTAATCTTATACTAGTTAGACGAGACAGCAATGTGGTTGTGCAGTGATTGTTGGTAACGTAGTTAGTGAATGGAATTAATTGAAGTTTTTGAGCTCGGAATTGAATCTAACTCTCCTTAATTCTAGTATTGAAGGGGAGGTTTGGCACAATGGTAAGAGTTGTCGCAAATATTTTGCAGAAATGGAAGGTAAAATTATGTATAAAGATCTAATGTAGTTTGACCCCGTCCATAGTCAGGGGCGAAGCTAATGAAGAAGTTACGGGTTAAATAACTGCAAAAATAGATTCTGAACGCAGTAAATTAAACGCAAAGTGGTAGAGTTTCGAATTTGAACCCATAAAATTCAAATTCTGGATCCGCCTATGTCCACAGTGTACGATCTTTGTGCATTGCTTCTTACTTCAAGTCTCGTGCTGAAGGGGTGATTTGGCGCAATAGTATAAGAGCTGTTGTCATGTGACCAAAGGTCATGGATTCAAATCATGGAAAATAACCTTTTGCATAAATCCAAGGTAAGACTGCGCATAATAAATCTAATGTAGTTTGAACGGTCCATAGCAGGAGCTTTGTGCATCGGTCTTTACTTCGTGTGGTGCTTTGTCAACAAGCTTGTCTCTCTTACTACACTTGGGAGGTGAGAAGGGGAAGGTATTCTCAAAATGTCTTGGTTGACGGAGGACTACCATTGATTGTGGCCAGCATATGTTATTAAAATCCAACTTCTACAGTGTGACTAGCAATGTCTTGATTAAGCTTAAAATTTGACGTTGGATTAGACTAAAGCTAATCTTTGAATTACTAGGGCGTGTACTCTGTTTTTTGAAATGGACAGAGTATTATACAAGTTAATATGTGCTCCAGCTTCATATATTACATGCTCTTTCTTTCCGACCTATTTGACTCCTATGTAAGTAATACTCTAGGATCAGTTTTTTTTTTTTGGGTACATATTTCAGTTGAAGGGGAGCCTTAGCGTAACTGGTAAAGTTGATGTCATGTGACCAGAAGGTCACGGGTTCAAGCCGTGGAAACAGCCTCTTGCAGAAATGCAAGGTAAGGCTGCGTACAATACACCCTTGTGGTCCGGCCTTTTCTCGGAACCCGCGCATAGCGGGAGCATAATGCACCGGGCTGCCCTTTTTTATACATATCTCAGTTGGTAAATAAAATTCTTTTAATTACCAAAAAATATATTCCAGGATCTGAAACATATGATGGTCATAAGCATAGCAGCTAGCCCAAAGTTTCAGAATATTGTTCAGAATCCATTCCCAGAAGAATAACGGAAACTAAGATTAGCTGCATCAACATGCACAACACAGAAAATGGACACTGAAAATAGGGAAGGGGATCAAACAAAAGAAAATGGAAGTAGATACAGAAATGTTAACACAGATATAAATAGATTTAACTATGTCCCGGTAACTATCATTCTTTGAAGCATTTCATTTCCATTGACTGTTAAACCACCAAGCATTAAAAGTAGACACAAAAATGTTTGACATAGGTATTGGTAGACTCAAAGGACCAAGCCACTGTCATAAACTGAGCTCCTCCAAGCACTTCATTGCCGTTGATTCATCAACCTCAGTGCCAGAATTGTCCTCAGTTTCCTCGGGCTGAGCTAACGGCTTGCTTGGCATAGTAGCTCGTGCCTCAGTTTCCTCGGGCTGAGCTAATGGCTTACTTGGCGTTGTAGCATGTGCCACGGTTTCCTTTTTGGCTGGTGGAGCAGAAAATACTGGGATAGCCTGCCTAACACAGACAGGTGGTGCAACTCGAACAGGTCGGGCTTGCATCATTTGAGGCGTACATCCAGTAGGTTGTGGACGAGGCGGAGCAGAGAAAACTGGCACTGCTGTTCTTATTGTAACAGGTGGAGCAATACCACGGTAAGGTGTCCTATATGGTCTAACTGGCATATATGGAGCTGCGCGGCCTTCTGATGATGAAGCCTGTGATTGTGGCATAGGCTGTGAAAATGAGGAATTGCTGTCATTTATTGTCGTGGAGGATGATGATCTGTAACGAGTAACTGTTTTTGGGCAGATTAAGGGGAGGAGTTTGGATGTAGTAGCTGCAGGACGTTGTGGACTAGATGGTCGAGGAGTTGGAATTGGAAACTTCTTCTGGAATGGTATTGAGACATTGCCGAATTTGGCCATTTCTAACTTTTCCTTCAAACGATAGTTTATTAAAGCCCTTGCTATTCTGATCTGTTCCTGCTCATCATTGTTCTCTGATTCAGACGATGAACTTGCATCTTGTTGTGCCACTGTAAAATTAATCCAGTTTAATTTTTAGAAAGAAACAACGACCTATATTAATGATAGCAGCCGCATAATGAGGAGCAAAAGGAAATTTATCTCAATAGCAAAACATCAGAAGTCAACACAAAATAATGGGTAGAAGTTGTGTTTTAATTAGTTTATGCATAAATTTTTCAAGAACCTTTTGCATTATTTCGGGAAACCAAAATCCCAAAAAGAATTTGTCTGATTTACAGAAACCAAAATATGTTTCTTGAATAAACCAAACAGGGCAGGCTGTACAGATCTTGCTTTTAATTATTTGGTTAGCCCAGTAAAATTGGTCAGCCCGGTGAGAAATGTTTATTTTCATCAATTAGCTTAAGCGTTTTAGTCCGTCTTAACACCATCCTCTCACAGTTATCATGAATAGCACAAGTTAATCGATATGAAAGTAGCATGAAATATGAGCTTTTAGCAATAAGTTGTAGATGCAAAACTATCAGCTGTTAGTCTGATGATGCTATTTCAATGTCATATTTTAATCAAGTCTTATGCTAAATCTGTAGAAAAAGAGAGAAGGGAAGTTGGGTATCTTTTGGCCGGCAAGAAGTAAACAGAAAGGATAGGCCGAAAAACAGGAAATGAACTTGTTGCCTTCTTCATAATGACTCTTTTTGCTACATCAATTTTTTCCAAATTCTTGTTTAAATTTTCAACTGGAAATCTGAATGAACAAGTTTTACAATATTTTGAGTTTTCCGTGGGGAGTTGGGAGAAAATTTTTAAAAGCAAGAGTATATGCCAACTGAATACTAACCAATAATAAGATGACTGTATGAGCTACAAGGAAAAGGCAACCTTGTTGTAGCTTTAAATGGGAGAATTCATGCATTCTAACGCCTAACATTAGCAAACTTCATGTTGGACACTAAGGCAATTGATACGAAATTCTTTCAAATTTTGAATTTATCTTATTAGCCACGCATAATACATAAACAGACCCTCAAACTTGGCCTCAGCCGGCAAATATGCTCTCCTACTTTGAGTGTGCACAAGTAGGCATCTCAACTTGTCTCCACTTTGTTAGTTGAACACTCCAACTTATAAAATAATCATCTAGACACCTCCAAAATTTATGTGCCGCGTCAGTGCCGCGTCAGCATTTGTGTTTACTTGTTTAACTCCATACAAGTTGAGGTGTCTACTTGTGTACCCCCAAAGTTGGAGGGCATAATTGCCAGCTAAGCCAAGTTTGAAGGCCTGTTTATGTATTATGCATATTAGCTATCCTATCCCAGGCCTGATTGACCGTTAAAGTACTTTCTTTCCGTTGTCCATTTTCTTCATCATTCCAATGTTCTCTGCCAAATATTGTAGTGGCTAAACCTCCAAACGACAAAGGAGAATTGATACTGAAGCATTTTAATCTATAAATTAGCAGTGACACGTATGAAGCTCCTTCCCCTCGAATCTCTGATACTTATAAGGAGCACAGGAAAGACAAATATTTCTGAAAAACAAGAATAAGGAGGAGCACATATGAACCTACTACCACACTACTGGACACTAGTAACTCATACCAGTTTGGTGCACTCTTACACTGACCACGAGCAGCACATGCAGGAAAATATCAACTATAGAACTATGCCTAATTACTCAAAGTATAATATTTTTCTTAATTGAGTGGGAGACTTACATTGTTTCAAAGATGACCAAGCTGCGAGGGCAGCATTCTTCTCAGCTTGCTTTTTGTTCTTTGCGGGTTCACCAGTAAATGTGATTCCAGCCAATTCTACTGTTCCTGTAAAAACGGGTTGGTGCCCAAGTCCCGACCTATATGTTGTGTACTGAGGCAAAGGAGCTCCGACTCTTTGCGCTATCTCCTGTAATAGATTTTTATAGACGCCTGTTTCATCCTACAAGGAGACAAAGAGAACAACAAAACTTCAGTGATGCCATCACACTAGTCATCACAAGAAAATTGGCTTCTTGATTAGTGAATTTGTAGGGGCGAAATGTTAAATTGAAAATAAAGGGGATCTGCAACCATACCTCCAAAAATTTAAAGTTTAAAAAGTAGATTTTCAAAATTTTCGTAGGCTACAGGCTATGAGACCCCAGCCCCTCTTGTTCTGCCCCTATACCTTAGTTATGCCCAGGGGCGGAGCTAGCCCATGAGCTACGGGTTCGGCCGAACCCATAGCTTTGGTCCAAACCCTCTATTTGTCTTATGAAATTCATTGAATATGTACTAATTATTAATTTAGAACTCAGTAACTTAAAAGAATTAGAACTCTGAACCCATAACTTTTAAATCCTAGCTCCGCCTCTGGTTATGCCAGGTGACATCATAAGTTGTAATGCTAAATTGCAAAGCAGTAAGTGTTTAACACTATCATACCCAAATCCAAAAAATATACAAGTATCTCAATGTTTCCTATGTGGAACAAGGTTACAAGGCCAACGCAAAACACTCCCATTTTCCATTGTATGGTTTGACTCGGCTTATAGTCGAAATCGCTTAACTTGATTAAGATACATTAGAGTAATTTAATGGATTGTTTTGTGTAATCTGCTAGGGATTAAGGCATAGTTGTTGTGGTAGTATTTTGTGAAATCTGGTTTATCATGAAAAAGATCAAATTGAAAGCATAAATTGAGTTGCTCAGCATATTCCAATAAATTTTTGAAAGGTTTTTAACATTATTGTAAGGGCCGTTTGGTTTACAGTCTAGTTATGTGGGAATTATAATGCAGGAATTGGAATTGTTTTTAAGGTGAATAATAATGCATGTAATGTTTTGTGGTAAATAATAATATATGGATTGTTATCGGCGAATAATAATACATGGATTGTTTTGTCTTTAGATATTGTCGTCCACATATTGCTAAAACACATATTCTTATCCAATTTTAATTATTTATCAAATAATACATAGTTTCTTGCAAATTAACCTCCGATAAATATGCATAGATTATATTAGTTATGCATAATTTTATACTGAAAACCAAACATTGTATGAGTAATATGAAATTTTATAGAAAAAAATGTAGTCACACATAAATGTAGCATATGGCAGTTTAATACGACATTTATATGAAGAGACCTCAAGGAAGTGGACGGCCACATGCATGTGCTTCTTAAAATATAGAACAAAGTTTATATAGGGAGACAAAGCTATAAATAGGAAGATTGGGCCAAATACATTTTCCACAAGTGCCATACATTATTTAATACCCAATATTTCGATACGTCATATACTTACCCTCAATATTGAATAAATTATTACAATGAATGAGCCAAAGTTCACACACATGATCAAAGTCAACAATGCCCCATGTTCAGTCTCTCTCATAAAACTGCTCCATTAATATAGAAGCAATTCTAGATCCAAATTATTTTTTTTGATTGGCTTCTAGATTCAAATTAATTCAACACTAAGTTGCTCAGCTTCCACACATGTGCCATACTCAAAGTTTGCCACATTCATTTTTTTTAAATAACGGTGGTGGTCAGGTCAACCTACATTACCTCGACTATTTGACCGACCCCCTTTACTTCCCATCTGTATATGTAGCAAGTAATTTTATCTACTAGACTTGAGCAGATAGGCAGATGGAAAGATATCGCCTAAACTTTAGCAGTTGCCGTGTTCATTTTCTCAATGCATTAATACTTATTTCAACATCATAATTGGTAGAATATTAATTAACAAATTAGGAACTCAGTAATTTTTAACTATATGTCTTTATCACATAACCTCCAATGTTAATTATTATTCATAATACAAATCTTTGAAATGTTGACTGATTCCTACCACTACAGGACTCATCTACATTTTCCACACATATTTAATATGGGGTCTTTAAGATTAGAATCAGTAAAGTAGGTAGCAAAATTAATATGCAAAATCACTTGTGATAAGGAAAAAAAGAAGTAAAAAGCTAAAAATGTCGTTGTTGAGTACTAAAATACCCTCATTTAAGGAAATTAATTATGAAAACAGTACAAGGAGACCCGAACCAGCTGTTATGCAAATGTGAAGGCAAGAAATACCTTATGGGTCAAATTAGTTATGGTCCCTCCACGAAACTTCCCCTAAACTTTTTTATTCCCCTGTACTTTCATTAACCAACCATTTTTCCCAAAAAAAGGAGAAGATTCTACTGCTACATTTAATACATGATAGTTAAGTTAAATAAATTAATAGTATAATTGAGTTTTACACCATCTATTTAATTTATTCCGTTATAATAGATTATTTCTTAGAATCAGTAAATACAAGTCTCCTTAAACTACGGAAGTACATGCTACAGCAAGTGGCGGAACCACTCTTTGCCGAGGGAGTCAATTGACACCTCTTGGTTAGAAAATTATAGTATATAAATAGGTCAATTTTATTTTTTACATATATTTTATATATGTTGATTCCACTTGATTTCTTCTTGCATTCACTTATTTAAAAATTCTGACTCCCCTATTACCTAAAGATAAACTTACACTAAGGATGTATATAACTTAAACTCTATTGCTTATACTAGGTTACCAATTAATGCTACAAGTATTAAATACAGTTAAATGCAATTACTCTGATTGGTAAATATTTTTTTTTTACACGAGTGCATAGAACTTAAATTCTAAAATGAGGATAAGGACATTTTGGTCAATTCAACACCCATTAATTTCCCCAACTAACCTCATAAAACCGGAGTCATCATTTCCGGTTAAGAGCTCGAAAAAGGACAGTAAACATGTGCACACATTAACACAGTCAACACACACGGCGCACATTAGCAAAACTCCGGCGGAAAACACGGCAAAATGCCGACGGAACCCTAACGGAAAAAACAGCAATAAGATGAATACACTTACGAGTATACGCGCGGCAAGGGAGTGAGAAGGGCCACGATTAGAGAGGGCGTTAAGGGCAACTTCAGCTGCAGCGTGTTCAGCTTGACGGAGAGTGGTACAGTAGTGAGGGCTCTCAAAGTTCTCGCCGTTAAAGTTAACGATAGCTTTAAAACGCGGCGCGTGGTCAGGACCTTCTCTTATGCATACGTAAGAGGGCAAATTGAAACAGCTCCTCTGTGCTAACTCTTGTAACTGGTTCTTGTACATATTGGGTCGGGTCGGATATATGAAATGGGCAAATGGGTCGAAGAAAAGAGCTTTTTGGGTTTAGATAGGTTCTCGAACAAGTAGTCCCATTAAACTTTGGCTTTGGACACTAATATTATTGAGCCGCCCATAAGAATAAGAAAGCCAAACATGGCTGTAGAGTGATAAAAAGAAGAAGAAAGAAAGAAGTGTTAATGAAAGAGATAGAGCAAAGCTTTGAATTTGAGTGGGGGAAGAATTAATGAGTTCTTTTGATATTGTAAGTTTTTGGTTCTACCAAAGTCAGGAATAATAATGAGGGGGTGGGGTGGG